GATGATCAGCATTTGTATTACTCTCTTAGTTATTGGCATAATTGATATGGTATGTACATGTTTCGAATTTTTAAGGGTTTTGTTTTTTTTTGATAGGGAGTTTTTTTTACAATAAAGTTGCCTTTAATAGAGCATTTTAATAATATGAAGAAGATTTTTTCAAAATCTATATTTAACGTTATCAAAAAATAGAGATATTTCTATAATTAACTTGCCATTACCTGAAACATTGTTCATGTATACCCCATTTAACGTGATTTTTTGAAAATCGATATTGATATGTAGCAACTTCTATCTTCATTCATGTATGCAATATACGTATATATGACTATTATTTTACTAAAAATACACCATAAGCGGATTTACTCCCTTTGAAGATATTAATAATGGTTTGTGCACAAGCTGAAAAGTCAATGCGGAAAAACAAAGTGCACGGATCTATAACCTTCACTCTAAATCAAAGATCACTCCATCGATAAATAGAAATTCGCGTCGGAAACACATGTATAAAATCGACAATGAAATAATTTACGTTTATTCACAATTTAATAGACAATATTTACAATTGTAGTATTTAGTGTAGTAGTACGTAGTTTTTATATAACTGTTTTCTACTGTTTTTACCTATCGACCTGTCCAATAATACCAATCTACTAATCTATATATAGAAATAAACATTAGATGCTGTGAACAGTATACGTTCGTAATTTAATTTTCGAAATCAATAGTACATACATTCTAAAGTCTTGGTCTTTCCATTCACGTGATTCTATTGCCTTTTCCCTTTGATATTTTTTTATTTCTTTTATTTTATGTGCAATGACTAAATAGAATCAAAAAAAAATAAATTAGATTCGTAGCATCGCATAATGCAAAACATACGTTGCGAAAGATAATAATAAATACCTACATGATTTATTTCCTTCAAACCCAACTCGTGAGTCTGCTAAAAATTCCGAAAAAGAAATTTGAATATATGCGTATGTACAAATATCAAGTACGAAAAATCATCGATGACTTACTTCCAAAACTTGTTGAATTGATTGGATCAATGAATCGTAAAAACCGAGATGCATATACTGACTCCGGATGAACTTTAGAATATCGAACAGGGACAATTTTTGGTTCTGGTAGATCGGGTTCAGCAAGTAAATTTCTTGGTACCAGGATATTATCCTCGGAACCCATTTTTGAACGTGCACTCAGTAAACCCTCTAATAGATCCGCGGTTGGTCGTCGCAACGGGTCCGAATCCCAGCAACGTTGCATTAAATCACGTAAATGGGCTGGTATATGCTCACCAACTTCCGGTCGGAGACCATTATAAATGGCCAAATGAAGATGAGGATCGTGTGCACGGTCAATAAATGGTCGTTGATTTGAAAGGAATTCCCACATTATTATCCCAAAACTGTATACATCGGCAGCTTGAGTATATGTCCCTCCAAGTAAAACTTCAGGTGCTATATATGGCATAACACCATACACTCCTTTGGCCGGTGATTTTTGAGCCTCGATAGGTCTACTTATTCCTATATCGCAAATGTACAAGTTCTTCCCATCTTGTAGCACGTTTCCAGCATGTAGGTCACGATGAGCTAAGCCTGTTGAGTGAATTACCGATAATCCAACAGCTATTTGTTTAAGCGGTTTAATGCCTCCTGGAAAAACTTTTTCATTGGATGCTGTTTTTACGAGACATTTATGCAAGTCACCCTGGTCTGCGTATTGCATAACCATTACGTATTCCTTGGTAGCTGGATTCTGCGCTATTCCATAACAGCGGAGAATATGACGAAGTGAAAAGTTTTCAAAATCTTCTCCATCCGGTGCCGTTCGACATAAAACCTTAAACTAAGGATCCAATAAAAATGAAGCATTCTGATATTGTGGATATTCTATAAAATACATAGTATATTCTTACCTCGTTGAAAAATTCAGCTTGAATAGTTTGTGAGTCACGTAGAGACTTGAGTGCAACTTTTATACCAGATCGTCGTTTCCACATTGGTAGAGATTTATTTGAATGTGAGAAATCACCAATGTAAGGTGGACCGTCCCGCGGCCCTTCTTTCCAAACTGCCGTATATACAGTACTAAATGCTCCCTGGCCGATTTCTTGTATTTCACTAAATTTGTGATATGGAATCCATTCTATGAAGGAGAAAATTGATGGGGCATCTCGTTGGATTTCATGAATCACCCCGTCAATTATTTTATTCCCGCTCGTCCATTTTGGAAAAGCGAGTTGATAACGATGATACTCGCAACTAGAGCACCAATAGAAATTTATTCTTGGTTTTTGGCAGTTGCCACATGTCCCGTATCCGTCAACTTCTGACGTGCTTTGATCCCAAGTCATTCTCTAGAGAAAATAATTAAGGATATATATTGTTGTTTTTGTTGTTGTATTCAATGTGTGTGTGTGTGTGTATGTAAATGTTATGTAAATGTTATTTTTATCTATAGTAATTTAAATAAAGATTGATGTCTATTCTATTTTGTTTTAAAGAGCGTTCAAGAATGGATGTTTGAATGTTTATATACTAAATTTTTATATCGATAAATATACAGTACTGTATATCGATATAAAACGTGTTGATTGAATGCATTAATTATATTTGTAGTAAACGTTGAATATAATTGGTATTGATGTATCATAATTCTTATGTTGTACTCCAATTTTTTGTTTGTCACCAGACAAGGAAATCATTTTGAAAACGCATTAAAACATTACATAGGATGAAATGTTTATATTCTATTCTTCAATGATTATTAATATTATTATAAATTAATCTTTTATGTTGACGTGAAACGACTTCGGTGTGGGTAAAATGATTGTGTGTCAGAAGTAGCACATATCGTTATATTCTCCGAAAGCTATTATTCATCTTTTAATTTATTATCATTATACAATTCTTGGCTATAATTCTCATCTATTTTCCAAGACATTTCAGAAAAAAGCGAGATTTTAAATTTTGATCGACTTTCTTTCTTATTGAACTGTGCGTTTTATTAGTGCGTTAAATCGTGTTTGTGTGTCATCGGTCGGTGCAAACATTAATTTTAATTGATCGGATTTAACTTCCTCTTTAATTGAACATATAAAATAACGACTTTAATAAATTAATATGAAAGCGCGTCAACAAAATATTAGCGTGTTACTACCGCTTTTCTTATTAATTGGTACCTCAAGGCTAAAATTTTAGTTGAAATCTGAATGACATTGAAAAGTTTAGAACGCTAACACATACGTAGATTGAATGGATGAATGGCGGTAAATAAATATTTCTCTAATCAATCAATTTCTTGAACATATTAAGAAAACAAATAAATCCAAATGGGATATCCATAAGATGGATAGATAAGAATGTACGTACGTTATTGGTTTTCTATGACGATCCAGAAAAAATGACGAGAAGCGATTTACTATTATTCTGTCTAAAATATTATCAAATTTATTTTTTTAATAAATGGCGAAAAATGATGTTTTCGTCGGCGTATCTACACATTGCGCTTTGATCGATTTAAACTTAACTTTAGCTTTGACTCCTGATTTTGTGTTACGTTGTATTATTGGGCGAAACCCTATTTTTCCCATTCACAAGATACAATTCTCAAAACAAAAAAAAAAGCATGTCGTATGAAAGCGCGTTTTTAACAATGTAACCGTATTTGAATCTAGTTATAGCGATAACAAGTTGTGAATTTTCCAATGTCGTTTTCAATTAAAGAAACGTGACTACTGTTATCATGGATAAATTTCGCGAAATCAACATTAATCCGGATGACTCGGCTACTTTTGATTGACGTTTCATTGCAAAAGAACAATACATATCGATATAGAAGCGCAGCAGTTTTTTGTTTTGGCTTTCAAGTCATACAAGTGTAATTATAGAATACGTAGTTGCATGCATTTGTAACATTACTTTTGTATTACTGTATTTATTTTCTTTAACATTAATTTCGTGCATTTATGAATTTTCTTGTTAAGGTACAAAGAAATACAACGATTGCGTTTTTTTTTGTTGAGAAACAAACAACACTCAAACTTTAAAAATTGAGTTAAAGTTATTTTCGACAACCAGAATTCTATTTATGCAAAAGAGGACCAAAACAATTCCGCTTAAAATGAAAAGGTTTGAACTTTACGATGTCATTGGTTCATTATGGAATGCTTGTTAATAAATACGTATAATTGTGCACACTACGTACGAAATTATTGGAGAATATTTATTTTCAGAAATTAGACACGTGTATCATTTGTTTGGTGGAAGGTTTGGAAGTTTGAATTATTATTCAATCCTTGATTGGTTATTGAAAAATGTACATTTTCGTAATATATATAAAAAAAAACGGATCCGGTACGACATCCCGAAAACCACAATTCCGACAGTTGATACGCCCGACAAACGAAATCCCGGAAGTTCAACATCCCGAAAGTCCGATATTCCGAAAATCCAACATCCCGAAAGTCCAATATCCTGAAAATTTATCATCCGAACACTCAACATCCCGATTGCTAACATTATGATAGTTCAAAATCCCTAAAATTCAAAATCCCGATACTACAAAATCCTGAAAATTCTCAATTTTCAATGGTTCAAAATCACATTTAAAAGTTATTGGTCACTGATATACTTTCCAGCTTTATTAAAATACATGTACATGTTCTACATAAATATTATATATAACCTTGTTCTCCACTCCAACCCTAGCCCTAATCCCAATCTTGAAATCAAATTCAGCGTTAAAATATAGTATTTCCAGATCGGAGGTAGTTTGGGAGCCGTTTTTTCTTGACATATAATATAAATAGTATATATGCAATTTCATGATTTCATGTGTTGGAATGTTGAATTGTCATTTTCTAACATTTCGGGATTTTGAACCATCGGGATGTGGGCTTTTCGGGAAGTTGGCTTTTCGAGAAGTTGGATAGTGGATTTTCGGGATTTCGTTTGTCGGATGTCGGGATTGTGATCGTCGAGATGTTGGACGGCACCCAAAAGAAAAAACACGAACAGTATATAGTATAAGAAAATAAATAAAATATATTTACAAAACTATATTTTAATTAATGTATTTTTGTTGGAGTTTCGAATTTGACTGATTTCAAATGTTTTTGTAATTAATTTGGCCATCCTTTCACTGAGAAATCGGAATTTTTTACATCTACTGAAAATGTAAAGGTTGCATTTTGAGCAAACCACAAATCCACTTGGACTTTTGCACATATAGGTGGAAATGATAAATAGTTTTTCCATGTTTCACTTTTCGCGTTTCCACTATGCTCCTATTGATAATAAATTAAACACACTTCAATCAATCTTACTAAACTGATGTATGAACAGCATCAACAATATTGAAGGGACAGAAAAATACTTACAAAAAGAAATTCTCCTTGTGAAGATAAATCAACTAAACGAACAGTTTCCTCCTTTGCCGCAATCATTCTCGTCTCGAAATATACACGAGTTTCGTCTTGTTTCTCTGGTTGATTCGAATTGACGATGATTTGTGCGTCCTACGATAATAGTTAATTTTATATCGATTTACAAACGACTTAGAAGAAAGAGGCAGAGATTGCAACTTACTATAAATTTTCCTGAAGTTGTGAATTTCCAAGGTTGATTACCAATTCTGTCGTCAATAAAGTTGCTCGTTTTGAAAGCTTGAGCGTCATTAACACTTAAGCTTTTGCATTTTTGTTGGTTCACTAATGCAATAACCTGTATTTCCATATAAATAAATTCAATATAGTTCACCAAGTCTTTATGCTTGAAATCAAACATAGTCTCTCACTTACCGCGACTACGATGATAGAAACAATGAATGCAATTACTAGAAAAAATCCGAGTTTCAATAAAAGCCTTCTGATTTCTATTCTTCCATTCACTATAGTTAATGTTAAAATTAATTAATGTTAAAATTAATTAATGTTAAAATTAATTAATATTAGAAATTAATGATCAATTATTAATAATAAAGCATGGTCGTTTCTTTACTTTTATCTGAATATGATATCTGTGAGTCATCGTGTTGATCAGGAAGAGTTGCAAGACGAGGTGGGTTTAAGATTTCTTTAATGTAAAAATTATATGCAAAAATAAGTGAGTCAACTGTTCCGGATATTTTTCTGTATATTGGAAGGAAGTTCACCTTGTGTTGGATGATTTCGATTCTCTTGTTTATAGGGTAAATATGGATTTGAATTTGACGCTGCATATTTGATTGAATCTAGGAAATTAATTTTTGATTAAAAGTAAACAATTCCATTCATTTAATTTACCATTCGTATATGAAGCTGGCGAATACTGATTTGGTGGACTATTACTATAATACTGTTGCTGAGACAAATTGGTTCGACTATTATTTCCCATTGTATAAGAGTCATGTGACAATGACGGTGGGTGAGGTGGGGGATATGACGGCTCTTCATTACGTGGTGGTGCATATGGTCGGTGAGCACGTGAATCTTCATCTAAAATGATAATTTATTATTGATTTACGAAGATTTATTTTTATTATTGTATTGTTGTTCAGGTTACTTACTTTTTAGATAAGTATTGCTATTATTATTCTGTGGTATATTTGATCCATATTGACTATAAGGTGACAGATGAATAGCTATATTGCGAAAAAATAGAAAATAAGTCTTTTTGAAGATAAGTCAGAATTCCATCCATACTCACGTGGTTTAGGAGCTGGACGATGTGAACTCGTTGGACTATCGTAATCATAATATTGGGACTCTTCACTTCCTAGCAAATCAAAGAGGTCGTTAATCAATTTTCCCAACAATTTTAATCAAAGTTCAGAATTATTACCATCAAAAAACAGGTTATAGTTATTCTTTTCTGCCATTTGATTATTGGTTTATTTATTTTGGAGAGTTATTTTATTTGCAATTTTTAAATAATAAATGGTTAAAATCTGGCAATAATTTGTAAATTTTACTAAATCGATTTCGCAAACCAATTATATATATATATTCCTTGAGACACTAAATGGGGGCTACATACGTATTCTTGTTGGCGTTGTTTTTCATTTCTCTATTTGGAACCCACATTCTGTGTTGGTCATACATACGAAAATAAACGTTATTTCTGAATGATATATACATGTATCTATCAAGTTGTTACAATTATCTTTGCATTACATGTACGTACTATCCTATATGCACAAAACGTTTCATTTTGATCGAATGGATGATGACAATAATGGCTAACAAGTGTTTCACATGCACACACGTACAGTTTGGATTGATTGATAAAGTAATTATTGACTTTGGAAACAGAGATAATACGATAGACTTTTTCTTTCTTAACTTTTATTGTCGTTTGCAAGTTTCTTTTTCAACCAATTCTTCCAATAAATGTTTCAAACATATTTGCTTATTGTTTTTTCATTTAACGTAACAGAAACAAGACACAATTAAATCATTTGGTCAAAAGATTATCTTGATGTGACAGAAAACTTTCACGCAAATGGAGCCTGCCACGATAACATATTAAAGGCCACGTTGCAAAGCCTACCTAGAATTTTTGGCAGTAACTACAATAGTGATGAATAGAAATTTCATGTATAAAATTAAATTCCATGCAATGAATGTCTCATTGCTTTACTATCTAAAGTTGAATACATTTGGCTTACCAAATATGGCGGTTTTTCCAGATATATGCCGCCTATAACGATAACTATGCAATACCGATACATGTACGTATTTCGAATAGTGCTCATGTATTAATTTATTAGTACATGATTGCCAATGTAATTTATTTACATTTTACTTTAGCAAAATAAACAGTACTCCACGCGGAAGCGATCGCCCGATTTTGCTTGGACACAATTCTCAAGCAACGTCCATACTTGCCGCTCGGATGCACCCGATTCCCCGACGACCGTTTCCTTGAAGGGAAATTTACCGATATCATTCCCCGACTAAATGTTTACCCGAAGAGAAATTTACCCGACACCGATGACATTTACTAGACACCCATTTTTGGTTAGGTTATATGATATGATTTATAGCTGCAAGGAATATTTTTGGCTAGAACAAAAAAGTAGTTTGTAGCCATACAAACTATTTTTAAATTGTATCTTCTCTTTCTGCATT